CACTTTTCTAGACTCAAAATGTCATTTGGAGCAAGTTTGATGTTGTAAGTTTTTTCATTTGAGGCCTCCTTGTATGCGTTTTGGGCATAGGTTGAAATGACCAGTAATTCTCAGATGACCAAAATACCCTTTGCTTTCCAATACCATAGGTAGAGTTTCACAAATCATATGAAGGCATACTATACCATTCTAGAAAGCTAAGACAATGAGGAACAACTCTTATGTTTACCAGAAATTCATTTGAAATCTCCTTGAGGGGTAAAAATATCTTGGAAGTCAAGTCACTTTCACAGACAAAATTTCAGATACCTCAGATGACCTGTAACTTGCAAGGACCATAACTTGAGTTCTATAAATCTCCTTGATGTCTTCCACCACTAAAATTAAAGGTCTTGAGATCCTCTACAAGTTTCATGTTGGCCAAGGATCCATTTGAAGCTTGCATTTTGACTTATCTTGCTTGGAAATTTGACCTAAACTAGGGGATTTTACACAGAAACCCTAATTTAGAAACTCCTCTTCTCCTTGATTTCTCTTGATTTCTTCTTGGCATATCACCATATCCTCTTCTACATGTCAAATGATGAACCCCACATCTCTTCAATAGCCCTCAATGCCTTTCAATCAATCCTTTGACCTAGGGTTGACCCAGGGTTGACCCAGATGAAACCCTAGTTGACTGTCCTCAACTACAATTCTTGTGATCATATCAATGACTTGTCTCCTTCTCCAAATGACTTTATAAGTCTCCCATGATGTCCACATACTCTCCATGCTCAGCCCACAGCTCCCAATTTCTTGTTGATCCTCAGAGACCCTCAGATAGGAGATGGATGCAATGCTTGATCCATTGACTTCCCAGCTTTCAAATTCTTTCTGATGACTTGAATGATATTGAATTTGGATAATAACCTCTTGATAGGTCTCTAGAGATGAGAATAATGATTGGTCCCCTGTTGGATGACTTGCTATGCTTATGCTATGCAGATGAGTAACCTATGTACATGACTCTATATGCAAATGCTAATGATATTGAAACATAAACCAAGTGAACAAGGTTGAGCAAATTTTAGGGTGCAACACCTACGAGTCAAGCGCTACATTTACTGTTTTATTTTTGTTGGGAGTTTGCTTGAGGACAAGCAAAAGTCCTAGTGTGAGGGAGTTTGATAACATGATTTTGTATCGTATTTTTAGACTCACTTTGCGCATTTTAGGTCCGAGTTTTTATCGAGTCTTTCGCATTTTTATGTGTTCTTACTCTGTTTTTATGTTGGCAGGTGTTCCCTTCGAGATTCTAGAAGAAATCAAGAAAAGAAGTGAAAGAGTGGGAAAATCCAGCAAAAACCAGCAATTTTGCCAGCCTTTCTGATATGGCGCTCGCCACCACCAAATGGCACTCGCCATCTGCCCATAGAGACCATGGCGCTCGCCATGGGCACCACGGAAATTGCCGTGCAGTTCGTATGAGCAGTTTCAACTGCAGAGATTAGTTTTCGAGCAGTTGCTGGCGGTTATGTTTTCCCTCCGAGTTTTGATTTCGAATAGGGAGTTATTCAACTGCCTTTTTTTTCCTATAAATAGGCCACTTTTAGGATGTTTCGAAGAGAACCAACCCGTGCAGAAGCGCTGCCGAACTATTTTTAGACCTTTAACTCGCATATTACCTTTCTAAAGCAACAATTGCTTAAATCGAGGAATTATTGCAGTATTGTATTTACTTTTTTGTTGCACTGCTGTAATACTCGGATCGAAGTTAATAAAAGTGTGTTTTCGTTTATTCCATTGCAATCTACAGGTTATTTTTTATGTTTTACTGCATTTTCTTTCTACGTGTCTGCACTTAATTTATTTTTATAAAAGCCAAAAACTAATATTTTCTTAAGTTTAATTTAATATGTATATTGTAATTCTCAGAATTGTTAACATGTTACGATTGCAATTAACCATGTCCGGATAGATTAATTAGAGACCGTCTTATAAGGACCGTCGTAACCGGCGGGACTCCGTAGTTATAATAGGTGCAAAATTGTAATGCATGCCATTTTGGTTGTAATCTCTAAGTCTAATTTAAGTAGCTTTGTCACGAGAGTGAGAGGTTATTTAACATTGTTTCATCACGAGAGTGAAAAGTAAATAAAGGTTAAAGCCGAGATTCGCGAGAGTGTGAGGAGTGAACCGAATAGTAGAAATTAGGCATCGATATCTAAATACATCGAGAGCGCTTTAGATGTTGATTAGGATACTATCGGCTTTCAAAGAGTAATTCTTAGTTACCTGGCGAGCGAGAGCAAAATCTTGGGATTAAGAAGTACGGCTTAGTTAAGACCGTGAGAGCGTGATGCGGAGCCTTTAAGTTGGTATATCATACGGAATAGGCGTGTAGATGCAATTAGTACCCTTTTTCTACAAAGTCCCTTAGGTACGCGAAAATCAAATTTCGGGCTCGTTTTAGTATCATTCTTAGATTTTTGATTTCAGCCCCGTAATTAGTGTTAACTTCTGTTTAACTCAAGCCTTAGCTTTGCATAGCAACCATAGATAACATTAGTTTGATTATATTTCCCTGTAGGTTCGACAACCTTTTTAAGACTACACGATCAACTGTATGCTTAAAAATTTATCCGTCAGTAGACACCGATCACTTGGTGTCTTCTCCTTTGCCAAAGGTTATCTCTAGGCTTACGTGGCCCATCACTTGTACCTACCCACCTGACAATTCTAATAACAAACCTTTGAATCCTTTGATTTTGTTAGGATCAATATGAAGAAGCTTCTGAAAAGTGTCCCAAAACAGGACATCAACATAACTCTCATGATCCATCAGGACTCACTTGATATCCCAATTTATATGTTGTATAGTGATGATCATGAGGCCATTATCACGAGGGAGGATTTCGATAACATCGTTGTTAGAAAAAGGTGATATTGATTCCTAATTCTTCCTGTTCCTCATTGGAGATCGTAAGGGATATTATGATCGCGACCAACACCTGTCTAGCGTATTTCCTTTGAAAGGAGTTGAAACTTCATCCGCCAGTAAAACTTCAAGCTATGATGTTAACCCTAGATTGTAGATTTGTGTTGGTCATCTTTGGGGAAGATGGAAATGATGATGAAAAAGGTGTGACCTAAGTTAGTTTCATCGGAGCTCCATGGTGGGTAGGGGATACTCATACCTCTTTGTAGTTAAAGGTGGTTAGGTCTTGCTCACGGTGATGAGAGACCCTGTTTGGTGATGGTTATGGTGGTAAGAGAGAAATAACTCATGTAAGGTGAGAGGCTCTGTATTTATGCTCTATGTTGAGGGTATGTTTATTTATCCCCTCTCCTATTAGGGAAGAAGCATTTATAGAGACCTTCGTTCAACCATGCAGTCTCATACCTCTCATTCCGATGTGAATTCGGGTTTTCCCTAGAAGGGGCTACTCATTGTCATGCCTCACGCACCGGCAACAACTCCCTCACCCACGGGTGTTACATGTAACCACTCTCTGCCCTCATTGACCTCGGGTGTTACATGTCCACCAACTTCCGCTTGGTTCGTCCAAAAACCACATCGTACTTGGAGAGGTATGGCTCTGATACCATTTGTAACACCCCATAATGCTTTTAGGATTACTGAGTGACCCTACAAACCAACACGGGTCTTTTCAACATGTTTTATCCTCACTCGCACACTTTTCGGGAAACTTCCCAGAAGGTCACCCATCCCTAAATTGCTCCAAGTCAAGCACGCTTAACTATGAAGTTCTTATGAACGGGCTACCGAAAAGAAGATGCATCTTGTTAGTATATGTAGTACCAATTAATCCTTATAAGCCTTCATTCAACCATGCAGTCCCATACCTGCATAGCCTCAGGATCCTTCTCATTCTGATGTGAATTCGGATTTTCCATAGAAGCTGCTAGGAGTGTCTCTTGTCATGCCTCACCCACGGGTGTTACATGTAACCACTCTCTGCCCTCATTGACCTCGGGTGTTACATTTCGCATGACAGGGCGAGTAGAGGGCTCTTAGGGCGAGATGATTCCTAATGATGGACGACGTACACGCGTAGCCCCTACTAAAGGTCAGCACTATCCTTTCCTTACTAGACCTTTCACAAATATAACACTATAAAATCAATGTTTGAGTTTGTAATTCTCAAGGCTTTTGATGTTCTAATTCACTCCTTGAAGGCCCTTGCTCATCAAAGAAATCATATGACAGCCACCTTTAGTTTTATGAATCAAATGTAATATTGATGGTCCAACTCTTGAACTCCAAGTCCTTTCTCATGCGCATAAATTTTTAGAAATTCTAATGTTATTTTTAAGGGTTGCTTTGTCATTAACATATTTTTTTTTTTAGAATTGCATGCTAAGTTTTCGACACATTGAATGTATTATTATATTAAATATCAAAATAAAACTTTTTTTATTTTTATTTTTTTATATTAATTTTTAGTCTTTTTAAAACATATTAAATTATTTATTTAAAAATATTAATATAAAATATGTCCTTAGTTAGACTAACATGTCATAGCCAACTTTTGGAAAAACAAATTTTTATTGCTAGACCAACAAACTGGGCTACTAACAATAATTAAGAGATATAGGTAGATGAGTGGTTAGTGAAATTCATGGATGAACCTAAGATGTGTGGACAAGGGCCCTTGCTCAATTTTAAAATATAGTGGAGTAATTAATACCCATAAAAATTAAATTATAACACAAAAATAAATTTCAAATAAATAAACTTTGAAAAAAATTCAATTCAACATTTTTTTCTACAAAACCAACCAAACCAAAGCAAAGTAGGGTATGACATAAGTAACCGACAAAGTTGCTATATCAGTGTGACCATTAAAAACAAAACAAAAAAACGGATATACACTTAATTAATGCTGTTTCTATACCCATCTTTTCCTTCTCATTAAACACTATATATAAATGTACCTTATCTCTATAATTTATGAACCTAGCAAATTAATAAACTCAAAGATAGTAACAACATAATGGAAGGTTTTGATGAAGAAATTGAAGAGCCAGTTAGTCCTACAGGCCAATATTTGAATAGCTCTTCTCTTTGTGTGAGCATTTTAGGTATCTTAGAATCTGAGATTCCAATTGATGATCATCAAACTTTGTCACTTCTTCAAAATGTGTTCCTTCCCATCAATACACGTTTCTCTTCCATTATGGTAATTCATCAAATCATCTTCACGTTATTTATGCATGTGTATATCCTCTATTTTAATGTTTGAAAATAGTTTTTTTTAATTGTTAAATTTAGTTCTTAATTAGTTTGACTATATTGTCTTTCATTAATTTCATGAGTTTAGGGACTAAACATAGTTGAAGTTTAAACATGTTTTGTCTACAACTGCATTAAAAAATTGATAGTATTAAATTAGACGTCAGCATCGATCTCACAATTGTGTCTGATTCTATTAATTATTACTATGTCTATCAATAAAAAATAACGATCAGAATCACCAAATAACGAGATTTTAACATTTTAATTGACTTTTAATGAAAATGTTTAGGCGGGACAAACACACATGTCTGCCTAATTTATGTTTGTTATATAAAATCTCAAAATAAAAAGGGACGGCGGATATATGTCAGTATTTAAATTTAAAATTTTGATCTATTATTAAAAAAAAAAGGACGGATAGACATGCCAACTTTGCATTTTTAAAGGCTAAAAGTTATTAAAACTCTTGTAAATGCTCACAAAAAAAATTGTAAAAAATGAAGTGATCATAAAAAAAATTAAAAAGTATAGATTTAAAATCTTGCTCCGTCCTAAAAAAAAGAATCAAACAAACATAATACTCAGCAATACTACTCGGCAGCCGAGTCTGATTTGTCACTCCAAAAATGTTAGTATAATTTATAGATTTGTAATCTTTGAACTATACTTTAATACTTTAATGTAATAGTGTTAATTTTTTTTCTCTTATAAATTCGTAGTCCTTAAACTAATCATCTATACATATTATTGTTTGAATAGATTAATGACCAAAATGGAGAGAAGAAATGGAAGAAAGTTGAAGTCAACCTACAAGAACATGTACACATTCCAAAATTTCCATCAACCAATTCATCACTCTATGATGAAAATCTTGAAGATTATATGTCCAAAATATCAATGGAACATTTACCTCAAAATAGGCCACTTTGGGAAATTCACATTATCAAATATCCAACAAAAGATGCAGCTGGAACCCTAGTATTCAAACTTCATCATGCCCTTGGAGATGGTTTCTCTTTAATGGGAGCTCTTCTTTCTTGTTTAGAAAGATATGATAACCCTTCTCTTCCATTCACGTTACCGACAAGTCAAAGACCTAAATCGGTTTTTAACCCGAAACCATTTTTTAAAAGATCAATTTTGTTTCCATCAACATTCTTCTCTAAGGTTTTTAATACTGTTTCTGATTTTGGATGGAGTATGTTGAAAAGTAGTTTGGTTGAAGACGATGTTACACCAATTAGGTCTCGTGCTGACGATATCAAGCTCAGGAAAATTATCATCTCAAGTGTGAATTTCTCTATGGATCGCATCAAAGAAGTTAAATCAAGACTTAGAGTGGTACGTGAAATTATTTCTCTAGTTAGATTATATATTATTATAAGAGTTTTATTTTTTACATTTTTTTCCTATACTATCAAAGATGTTGATATTTTTGTTGTTGTCACAAATTAATTACAGAGCACAAATGATGTAATAGCTGGCTTAATTTTCTATGGAATTAGATTATACATGGCCCAAATGAATCAAGAATCAAGCAAACACAAATCAACAGCATTGGTATTACTAAACACAAGAAACATTGGAGGTTACAAATCACTTAAGGAGATGGTTGAGATTAAGAAAAACACTCAAAATTCTATTTGGGGAAATCAATTTGCATTTTTGCATGTTCCAATTCCAGAACTGAGTGATACAAGTATTGATAATCCAATTGAATTTATTTGGGAAGCTCAAAAAGAAATTAATAGGAAGAAAAATTCTTTGGCCACACCTCTTACTGGTGTGGTTTTAAATATGGTGAAGAAATTGAGAGGCCCTGAGGTAGGTACCTATGTTTAGTTATATGCATTATTATATGTCTTCAATAGTACAAATAATCATACTGATATCATTAAATATATTTTTTCAATTATTAATTTCCATAACCTTTTTTTGACAAAAGAATCTTACAAAATGATAAAGAAATATTATTAATGTTATTTAGTTTTTATTTAATTTAAAAATATAGATTAAACAAATATTCATGATATTCCATATAGATATATTTTTTGGATCAGGTTTATGTACCAATCAAGTTTAATGTTATAGTTTTGACAATAGAGTTTAGTTGCTAAATTCATTTTAATATACTTTTAATTTATAAAAAATATGTTTTTAAAATAATATATTTTATTAATTCTATGGGCATCTCTATAAGCTTATATATTTTAATTTATATTTATAATAGTGGTGGTACATGATTTGATAAAATTAATTTCATAATATATTTATTTCTTTAGTTAATATTTAATTTTTCATTTAATTAATCAAATGATGACAGATTTTTTTTTCGAAAATAAATTTATTTAGTTTTAATTTTAGATGTACAAATGCTTTATTGCATACCCGATTTTTACGAATTTCAAAAAGTATTTTTAAAGCATTTTACTTTTAAGCCGTTTTTCATAAATATCATTTTTGAAGATATTTTATTTAAAAATTGTGATTTTCATTATATTAAAAATTTTAATAATAAATATTTAACATAATTAATGTCAAAATTATTTTTTAAAATTAACAAATGAGTTTTAAAAAGCTTATATTACTTTTGAGTGAAATTTAAGAAAATAATTATTAAAAATAAGTGACTTTAATTTATACATCCAAAAATCATAATAATTGTGTTATGCATTTTTTCAAGAGTAAAATGATGGAGAGTATCTCTATTCTTACCCAACTTTTATATAAATAAATATAAATTTTATGTTTCTTATATTAATATTCTTTTAGTATTTTTCATAAAAAATTATTTAATTTTAATTGAATATTTTTAATACTGATTATTAGGCTTCAGCTAGATTTGTATACAACACTTTGAGAAATTCAAGTGCAACATTTTCAAACATAATTGGACCAGTGGAAAAAATGGCTTTAGCTAACCATCCAGTTAAGGGTTTATACTTTATGGTTGTAGGTCCACCAGAGGTATGTGATTCATATTCAATCATAATTATTATTTCTAGATATCCATCTTTTTCACAATTATTTCACATGTGCTTTCCATTATTGTTAGTTGTTAGATATTTGAGTATGATAATCTCGGATAACTTTGAGGAATCGTGTTCGTATATTTTTCGAACAAAGTATTTTGACTCTATTATTTGTTTGGGTTCACGAAATTTTTGTGAGGATAATTCTTGAAGAACAATCTGCTTCTGACAATAGAGAACAAATCAGGAATGTAGATAGAAAGTATGGTTTTTGTTTTTTTTTTTGCGTGTTAAAACTGAGGCCAAATGACTCCTTATATAGAAATTAATAACAGAAACCGAAAAGACACAATTGTTCAAAACTTTCGAACGGGTTCAACTGTTCAGAAACGGTTCAAAAAATTGGTTCAGCGGGACCCCACGGGGCGCTGCCCCGCACCCTGCCAAGGGCTTCGCCCCTTGGAACCCCAGCGGGTCGCTGCCCCGCACCCCGCCAGGAGCTTCGCCCCTTGGAACCCCTTTTCAATTATTCGCATTCAATTACACGTTGACTCGACGAGCGTGCACTCTGCACTACCCTAACTCGTTTCTAAGCTTAACGCATAATTGTATCGACCTACAATAAATTACATTACTACTAAAATACATTGATGATACTAAAATCACCAACATTACCAGTATTTTTAAATTTTATTTTATATATATTTTTAAAAATTCTAATATGTTTTTTTTTCTTTCTATGTAGAGTTTAACTATAACGATGACAAGCTATATGGGAAAGTTAAGAATTGCATTTGGATTGGAGAAAGATTTCATTGACAAACAAAAATTCATGTCATGCATTGAGACTTCTCTTGAGATGATGATTACAGCATCAAGAAAGATTTCTAAATAAAATCATACAAAACACATTTCCACTTATTTGTTTTATTTTTATTTTAAATTTGATATTCAATTTTAAGAATAATTAGTTTGGAGGATCAATTCAATTATCCACTATGAGAGATCATTCTTGTTTGTTTATATGTGAACAACTTAATTCTCATTGTTGATGAAGTGTTTTTATTCAAATGAATGATTCATGTTTATATTGAAATTTGCTTAGGTGTAATATTTATATATTTTTATTGAAATAAAAAATAAAGATTGCCATTTTTTAATTGTAGTCTTTCATTCTAGCCATGATCTCAAATTTTTAGGGGTGTCAATTTATATGTATGTTGAAAAAATTATTTTATTAAAGTTATATATATTTTTTATAATGGTTCAATTAATAATCATATGAACAAGTATAACACAAACATACCATATACATATCACAATCAAAAAAGTTTTCTATAATCTCCTTTCAATTGATTTTGAATCCTAATGAGAAGAGGTATTATTTTAAGAAATTTCATTTGTCAGTATTATTATAATGCCGATGAAAATCTATTCCATCTTTTTTATTCTTGTGATGAGGTGCAATCAGCTTGGAATTGACTCTTGTAAGGAGCATACTTCTTTAGGAACTTTGTTTTTACATTTTAAGTTTTTATGTTTAAACAAGTTTAAAGTTGAGTTTCATAGTTGTTTATGGTTGGCAATTTGTTGGGGGTTATGGAATACTAAGAACTCTATATTTTTGAAGAAGGGAGATAGGAGGAAATGGACTTTATGAGAATTATAACAATTTTGTCTAAGGAGTGATTTTTAAATAAGTCTTGTGGTCAGATTGTTATCGATTTGTTGGTGTGGCAAAATGATTTGTCGTACTATTTAGTCGGATAGCAGATTTTTGCGGTTGTTTTGTATCGTTCTATTGATGTTTTTTTTTTTATATTGTTTGGGTTGAACACCTCTTTCACTTATTTTAATATATATATCTTTGGTTTGTTTATAAAAACACAATAGCAAGGTGAATTGTGTAAATTAAAAAAAAAAACATTTATAGCTGAAGGTTAATATAGTGCACCAAATTTATTCGTCTATGTTGGTGAACTTTAAAAGTTGTCAATGATTTAATAATAAACAATTTTAATGATTGATTGATTATGGGTAACTTATTATTCAAGTGATATGTAAAAAATAAATATTTACTTTTATACTTTTTATACTCTAACATATATATATATATATATATATATATATATATATATATATATATATATATATATATATATATATATATATATATATATATATATATATATATATATATATATATATATATATATATATATATATATATATATATATATATATATATATATATATATATATATATATATATATATATATATATATATATATATATATATATATATATATATATATATATATATATATATATATATATATATATATATATATATATATATATATATATATATATATATATATATATATATATATATATATATATAGTCTTTCTATATATCTTAAAATGTCTGCACTTTTACCACTCGATCATGTGCTCCTTTTATTTAACTCTTGCACCGAAATTGTAATATATGAAAATTGATGTTAATTCTTTTATTTAACACTTGTAGCCCTTGTTTACACTAATTAATGTTCATGAAGCAGGAGCATGATAATGACAATGACATGTTTCAGCTCTAACTCTTCTTAAACCAATTTGACATTGCATTCCATTTCTCTCATATTATTGCCATATGTGTATATAAATGCATTAGTATATTTGTTTTGAAAAATGCTTCTCCGCCATGCATCTATGAAGCACAGACTCCAACACAAACACCGCGACACGACACAGAAACAGACACGGACAATCCGACACCGATTTGTCGAAAACATATGACACTGAAACCACTGTATATGTCATAGTATTTGAGTTTCATTTATTCATCCAATACCAAAAAGAGAGAAAACTATTCTAATCAAAATTAATGTCTTTAATTCTTCATTGATAACATTGCTTCAAACATGTTTAACCCTTTTAATCGTGCATGAGATTCGTCTAAAAAATTTATAACGTGTGTTGAGGAAAAGAGAAACATATAACGTGTGAGTCTCATACGAGTATCAGACATTAATTCAAAATGTGTCAAAGCAAAGAAAAAACAATTTTTTAGGGACACTTGTCTGACTTTTTCGACACGTGTCGTACGGGTGTCATACAAGTGTCGGACCGCGACATACCTACTTCTAGAGGTGTCCATGCTTCATAGTCATGCATACATAAAAATCATATTGGTATTTTGAGAAACTAAGAATCCAAATATTACTTCAAAAACAAACATGAAGATGAAGCTTTAATGGAAGATGATGGTAAAGATTGTGAGAGAAAAACTAAATAATAAAGTTATATAATCAAACTACCAAAAATGATTATGGTTTGAAATAGTGGAGCACTAAATAAACATACATGAATACCTCATAAACAAACATATATGTTCTCATCGATCTAAAAAATTCTGAGTTTGTATGAAGGTTGGGCATGAAGATATGAATTGAAACTCATAATTAGGGATTAAAACAACAACAAAAAAAGGCCACTGAGACTAAAAGCAAAAACGTGCCAATTTATAGGGACGAAAAGAATATTTAATCCCAAATTCTAGGTTTGTGTTCATATCTTCATCCCTAACCATCATACAAACCCTAAATTTTTTCAAACCCAAAACTCTTCCTTGTTTTTCTTTTTCATAAAATGATTTCTCACACTTCTATCAAGACCAAAGACTACCATTGTACAAAAAAAATCCACCACAAATTCTATTAGGTGATAAAGCTTGCAAACACATCTCCCATCATTAAAAATAACAACTAAATTAAATGAAACAAAGTAAAGTTATCAACTAAGATTTTGGAACGGAGTAGAGTTACCAACTGAATACGTAGCCATGGATGAAGGTGGGGAGGAAGAAGAAGAATACAGTTTAGAGGAGAGGAAGAAGAAGAAGAAGTTCAAATTGCAAAATCATTTCATTTTTGAATTTAACCATCCTTCCCATCATGTAATATACACACATGCGTTGCAAATATGAAATAAGAAACATAAGTGGCTTAGTAGAAAGGCATATTTGCCTTAAATATAAGGTCCATGGTTCGGACCCTCTTAAGACCACAGAGAATTGACATTAGAGACTAAAATCAAAAGAAATTCAAGAAATAGAGACTCAGACAAACAAAAAAACAGATATAGAGACCAACATTAAAAACTCGCTAATTTATAGGGAGCAAAAAACTATTTATGTGTGTGTGTGTGTGTGTGTGTGTGTGTGTGTGTGTGTGTGTGTGTGTGTGTGTGTGTGTGTGTGTGTGTGTGTGTGTGTGTGTGTATGTGTGTGTGTGTGTGTGTGTGTGTATTAACATTCTTTATTTCTCTTTTTTGGAATTGGTCTTGTCATTATTGGAACAAGTGGGAAATTGTTATAAATTCATGAATATTCGATGTTCATGTGTGCGCGTTCCAAAATGATAAAAAAAAAGTGGAATGGTGTAAATGCTAATAAATGTAAGGGAAATAGTCCCACATAGAAATATTTACTCACATTCAAAGCCTTTATAAAGAGTTAAGAACATTAACTCAACAAAAGGACAAAAAAGGATAAAGTGTCACATGGACAAATATGGTGGTCACAAGTATTATGCCACCTCTCTCCTCCATACACCCCTGTCTGTTGTCCCCACCGGCGACGTCGACTCTGGCTCCGGGACCGAATCCAAGAGAGTTGGTGTAGCCGAGAGAAAAAATGGAATATATCAAAAAATGATAAATGGTATGTTAATGCATTCTGAATAACCATTTAATTTGTGGGGTGAATCATTACTATCCGTATGTCATATAATGAATATGATTCCTTTAAAGTTAACCGGTATTTCTCCTTATGAGATATGGAAAGTTAGATAACCAAATATCACTTATTTTAAAGTGTGGGATTGTGTAGCATATTACAAGAATATGGGTACGAATGAAGAATATTGTGATGAAAACTCTCCACAAATTGTTGAACTACAACCCAAAAGTATCTCGCAGATTGTTGAAACACAACTTGAGCCTAGAGTAAGCAAATGAAGTCGAATCTCAACTCATTTCCTTTTATCTAGTTGAAGAGAAATGCAAGAATAATGTTCATAAAATCCTTATTATTATCCAATTAGAAGATGATCTAAAACCTATAAAGAAATAGTGGCTTCAAAAGACTCTTTTTTTTGGAAAAATGTTATCCAAGACGAAATAGATTCAATTATTTTAAACCACACTTGGAAACTTGTCGACCTTCCAAAGGGTTCAAGGTCCATTGGTTGCAAATGGGTGTTTCAAAAGAAGTATCATAGTGACGGTACATTGAACACATATAATGCAAGATTAGTAGCAAAATGATTTAGACAAAAAGAGGGTGTTGATTACTTTGACACATATGCATAATGGCAAGAACAATGATCAGTGGTTTTTACACGTGATTTTACCGTTTATTTCAGTTAATCATTTGTTTTGTCTTGTCGCATTTTAGTTGTTTTTTTACATTTTACGCGTCGATTTGGTATTTTCACTGTTTCTAGGTTCAGGTAAACAATAAAGGAGAAGCAGAGCAAAAACCGAGGGAAAATTGCAAGATTCCGGAAGACTTTTGTTGTGAACCAGCAGCCTGACACGGGTGCCCGTGTCCTATGACACCGCCCGTGTCAGGGCTACTGAAAGTAAAATCTTTAGCAGTCTGCACGAAAACGATCATAACTGGAGTTCCGGGAATCCGTTTGAGGCGTTCTAAAAACCGCCGGAAAGCTAAGAGAGAGAGAGCTACGAATTTCGTGCTGGAGTCAAAGTCAAATTCGCAAGAGGGGCCTGACATGGGTGCCCATGTTGTGTGACACACCCCGTGTCAGGATGTGCTCAGAAGAGGTGATTTTTGGTGGAAAACAGTGGTCTGACACGACCCGTGTCAAGAC